GAAAGGGGGAGAGAAAGAGAAGAGACAGAGACAGAGAGAGACAGAGACAGAGAGAAGAGATGGGAGAGAAAGAGAGAGAGACAGACTTGGCTGTTCTGGGTCTCCTGGGCCACCCATGAGCTGATTTGGAAACAGATTTCAGTACCCTGGAATGATGGACAGGTACCTGGATCCAAGCTCCTGGAGGAGCCAGGGTGAAAGGCCTGGCAGAGATGGCAGTGAGTGAAAGGACAGTGAGTGAAAGTGGGGCCTCACCTAGGGGGGGAGGCCACGGCCTGTGCACACGTACCCTTTACTGTTCCTGGCAGACCAGATACCACCGCGTCCTGCAGTGGTCCTGCCATGTCTTTTAACTGCCAGCATCAGAGATAATAATTTTCTGGGTTTTGTTCTGGGCCCACACCCAGCAGTGCTCCGGGGATCACTCAGGGCTCTGCACTTAGGAATCACTGCTGGCGGCGCTCAGGGGAACAGAGGGGATGCCGGGATAGAACCCAGGTTGGCTGCATGCAAGCCTACTGCTGTACCGTCACTCTGTCCCTAGATAATACTTTCTCTTGCAACTAGACACACAGTGCAGACGCCCGCCCGCATACAGACCTCCCTACGCCTCATGAGACAGTGCTGCTCTGACAATATGCAATGCTTTATTTTTTATTTTTTAAAAAGCTGCTGTTAAAAACGCTGTCACCCAGCATAAACCTCCCTCAGCCTGCATAGACGTTGCTGGCCCAGGGTCTGCAAAGCGCGGTTCTCACACAGTTCACACGGCTGCATGCCAGCCCGAGTCCAGACACTGCTTAACAATGTTCACTGCTTCATCTGATCCCCATCGTTGAGAGGGTCATCCTGATTCCAAAGAAGAGGTAACTTCAGGGCCCGAGTGACACAGGAAGGAATCTGCACCACAGACAGAAGCCAGGGGTCCCAGGCCCTATCACCAGAGCCCCTCACTCAATACCGAAGTTCAGGGCTTCCTTGAGGTCCACGTCAGAGCCTGTGCCCCCACACCCTGGGTTTTTCTTCACGCCTCAGGTCAGCTCTGGCAATTCCCGTGGCTGTGTGTCCAGTGGGATCTCAAGAAGCCACTCCACCTTGTCGGGGGAACACAGTGCTCCAGTGCGTGGGGTTTTCTTGTGGAAGAAGGTGGCTGTTTCTCACTTGGAATAGGCTTTTATGAGGAGAGTAACAGACGTAGCCAAAGGCCAGCTGTGTGCGTGCGTGAGCCCAGGCTCTACCCGTCCTGACCCTCTTGGAGTGGATCTTCACCCTGAATGCTCCCGGGTCCAAACACTGGCTGTAACATGAGTGAATGCAGAAAAGCTGACCCGATAGGTCAGTCAGCTCCCATCCAGGCAGCACTTGGTTTCCTCAGCATCAATTTGCCGGGGAGACAAGGGGGCGAAGGGGGGAGCACCATTGGACTCAGCCACCAGCACAGAGCTTCAGGGGCTGCCGCTGGGAACCTCGGCATGCCCAAGTTTGGGGAGTGCTGGGATGCCCTGGGTGGGGAGAGGGGCTGGGCCTCATCCTTGGGGCATTAGACTCCGGGAGTCGGGATGCTCAGCAAAGTCTGTTTCTAACATGTTTCCTACTAGAACGCTGCTGGAGCTGTTTGGGGGAACACACTTTAGGGGCATCGTGGCAGGGAGATCCCTGAGATTCTAGCATGCACGATCTTCCTCTCCATATTTCTTTGATATGTAAGGGTCTCTTGAAGATTGAGATCCCTTCCTTTGCTCTCCTGGCTGGTTCACCCTTCAGGTTGAAGCACAGTCTTGATTTCTTATTCAATTAAAAAAAAATGGGGGGGGGGCAGAGAGATAGTACAGCGGGTAGGATGCTTGACTTGCACACAGCCGACCTGGATTCAATTCCTGGCATCCCATATAAGCCCACTGGGAGTGATTCCTGAGTGCAGAGCCAGGGGTAACCCCTGAGCACCACTGGGTATGGCCCAATAAATTAAAAAAAAAAAAAAAGATGGGGGCATGGGGAGTGGTCATAGCCAGAAATGCTTGAGGGCTTCTCCCACCTAGGTGCTGGGGGATGATGTGGTAGCAGGGCCTGAACCCAAAGTCCTGCATGCAAAGCCTGCAGCCTCGCCCACTGAGCCATCTCCTCAGACCAATATGCAAACAGTCCTAAAAAAAAAAAAAAAAGGAAACCATGAAGGTCTCTTGAGCCTGGCTGGGAGAGATCACCAGGCCTCTCCAAGGGCTGGGGCTGCTGTGTGGCACGAGATGGTCTGTAAACGCTGGCTGATTCGTCTCAGCTGAAAGGTTTTTGCATCAGGTGAATTTAGAGAGCCTGGGTTATTAGAATTCGGGTCACAGGGGGTCCTCCTGCAATGAGCACGAGTTCATTCCCAGGCTTTCACTTTGGGGAAAATATTCGGGAAATGAAATGGCTTGACTCAAAGGAGGCCCAGCACATAGTCGCACCCAGGTCCTGCTCCAGCCCGTGCCAGCCAGCCTGGCCTTGGCTGGGACAGGTGAGAAAAAGTCAGAGTCCAGCTCATCATCCGCGAGGTCCGCCTTGCCCCTCGCCCACGGTCCCTGCTCTGAGGCTCTAGTCATCTCCGAGATGCCGCCAGGACTTGTGAGCCACAGCAAAAAGCCACACTGATGTGGTCCTCTTTCATCAGATGTCCTGAAATGTTGGGGAGGCGGGGTGCTTCTTCCTTCGTCTCCAGTCCCTGGTGGACAGCACCCCCTCAGCCTCAGTGTTCTCAGTGATGACGAGGGGACGCAGCAATTCAGGGAATCTGGGCAGGCTCTGATCTTGTGAGCACAGCACCTGGTCTTCACCTTCTCAGCCCAAGGCTCCAGAAAGCTCAGGCAGAACTGAACAGGTGCCCTTTGAGGAACCCTCTCTGGGAAGGATCTGAGAAGTCTACTCAACTTGAAACAATGAGCTTCTGTTTTCACTTTTTTGGGGTTTTGATTTTGAGATTCTGGGGGCCACACCAGGTGGTGCTCTGGGCTTCTGGTGGGGCTCAGGAGACCCCATGGGGTGCCCAAGGATCACACCTGGGCCAGCCATATACGGGGCAAGGGTCTAACCCGCTGCATGATTACTCGGGCCCTCAGCTTCTGTTTTGGGGGCTAAAACAAATTTAATATACTTCAGCAGTGTCCAGTACATGTCTTTGAAATTCCCTGAGGGAAATAACCCACTTGGGCCTATTAAAAATAATGCCCTTGAATATGGGGTATTTTGAGGACAACCAAAATAGTTGAAGAAAATCCTTGGAAGCCAAATCTCCCTCCGCTGGCAGGCAGAGGAGGGCAGGAGCCCTGACTCCTGAGACATGGGAAACCAGAGGCAAGGGCAGGGCCACAGCCATCTCGCTCTGGGCTCATTACAGACACGGCATTCGTGCTCATTAGCTGTTCAACCCCAGAAACAGACCAGGAGGCTGTGGGAAACAAGTGCCATGAGCATTTTAAAAGCAGCAGTAAACCTACATTAAAAAAAAAAAAAGGCAGCAGTAAAGGGCCGAAGCGCTAGTGCAGGGTTGCTTTGCCCCTGGCCAACCCTGGTTCCATCCCCGGCACTGCATAGGGTCCTCCAAGCCCCACACCAGGAGTGATTCCTGAGCACAAAGCCAGGAGTAAGTCCTGGCACAGTGGGGTGTGTCCCCTACCCCCCCTCCCAAAAAAAAAAGGGGGAAGAAAAAGCATTATAAAAACACACTCGCTACTCTGGCGGAAGTGAAAGGGTGCAGGTATAGCTGCAAAGTTCTTCGGTTATGCATCGAGAGGGTGGGGAGCTCCTCAAAGCCGTGGCTGGCACTGGGCCTAGTGCTCCCCAGCCCTTTCCTCTTCCTGACTCTGCAGGTGGAACATGGGGGTCTCCCCAGATCTCAGGCGAGCCAATGCCACAGACAGACCCTGCCGGGAGCACAGGATGGCCCGTAGCATGGGCAGAGGGAGTCCGGCTGCAGAAAGCTGATGGACACGGGCCTGATCCACGTCCTTTGGAAACCACACACTTAAAATCTCCTGTGAGAGGCAGGGACGGGAGGGGCCGCACAAAAGCCATCAAGGCCCCCTCCCCGGAAAGAACGACGTGAGCGAGCAGAGCGCCACCACAACGGGTTTCCGAAAAGTTTTATTGCATTTTGTTTCCATGTGGAAGCACTGACAGAATTGAAAAGAGGCGGCAGGTCCCACTTTCCTGGAAGATCACAGGGACACGCACTTTCCTCCCTGTCCTGGATTAGATTTCAACCATCTCCCCACCCCCACCCCCTGCCAAAGCTAAAAGAGGTTGTTTGTGGAATCATGTAAAAAAAAAAATCAAAACAAAACAAAAAAACCCAAAGTCTGAGAATTCATAGAGGGCCATTATTCAGATCGGATCTTTGTGCATTAGGCAACCCATCTCCGCCTGCCGGTCCCAGACGGGAGAGCAAGCTCATCATCCCTCTGTATCTGAGGGTCAGGTCCAGTGAGCACGACGCCATGGGCAACCTCGAGGAGTCTGTGCCCCTACCTCCACCCCCACTCACATCAGGGCTGACCCCACCCAGGTCAGGACCACTGTTACCCGGCGTCAGAATCCAGGCGAGGTGGGTCAAAAATCCAGAGGGAACCTGCAGCTCTGCAGCTGGACACAGGGAGGGAGGCCCAGAGACTGGGTGGCAGGTGTGGGGGACAGCGCTGACCACTGCTCAGCCAACACCCATGAGGAGAGGGGAGGCAGGGTGGAGAGAGCAGAAACAGCCGGAACAGAGGAAGACGGGGTGGGGCCCGGACCGGTGTGCTTTCTCCCTCCTTTTGATTGTGTAAGGCATTTTGAACCAGAAAAGCTTCTCTCCTTCACATTTTCTGAATAATCACAGGGCGTATAACTGGTGACTTGGAGTACGAACCAGACCTCTTTCCTCTCCCACTCCTACAGACCACCACCACCAACACCCCCCTCCCCCCACCCGTCCCCAAAGTCATTCTACACCGCCCCCCTTTCCCCCGAGCCCATACAGAGAGCACGGGGCAACAATCGATTTCACTAGGCGGCAAACTGTGTCCATGGAGGGACAGGAGGCAGCTGTGTCAAGGGCCCACGTGCAGGATGGGGCCTTGCTCCTGCCCCCTCCGGTCTCAAGCAGGGGGGAAGCATCCATCTTCGATGAGGTTCTCCGTGCTGCCCGCCCGCCTTCAAGGAGGGGGAGGCCGCGGCCCCCACCAGGCACTGTGTCTTGCTCAGTTAGTAGCCGTGGGTGCGACCCGGGGGACAGGCCCCCCTCCACGTTAGTCATGCCGGACAGGAGAGCAGAGAGGAAACCAGAGGCCAGAGGAGGGATTTGTAAAAAAGAGGGAAAAAAAGAAGAGCAGCTTCAGTCACCAAAAAAATAGGAAGGACAATCTTTAAAAAATAAAACATGGGGCCTGTTTTGTTTGTTTTTTCTCTGCAATGCTCAGCCATGTTGAGACATAAAAAAAGTTTTGGAGAGCAGTTCGTTTTGTTTGTTTGTTTGTTTTTCGGGTAGCCGCCTGCGAGGACAGGCGGAGCGGAGCGCTGCGGTGGGGTCTGTCTGAATGGCGAGGCTGGTGGGCTCCTTCAGACCACGTACTGGTACGGGTCTGCTTTCCCTTGGTCTGGCGTGGCAAAGGGGCTGGCCCAGCCTAGAGAGAAGGGGTGGCCGAAAACGGCTTTCATGTTCATCCATTTTGTTTTTTTAGCCCATCTTCTCTCTTCCTTTTTCAACTGTTCTATTCCCTGAAAACAAGAACAATCATACGTTGAGTCACGCATGTTACGGGCTGTGTTTCTGGGGGAGGGACGTCCGTGAGCTTGAGGTGGAGGCAAGCCTTCCTGGCTGAAAGCCATTAAAGCTACTACAGAGACCGTTTTCTTCTCTTTCTTGGAGAAACGAGTCATGACTCAAATCGAGAGCCCTGCATGCACGGGGAGGGCGAGGGGACTGGCGCGACTCCCGCGCTGCCGATCCTTGGGGCCGCATCTGTGGCCGAGCTAACGGGTCCTGCAGAGAGTGGGCCTGTGGGGCCTGCCCGCGCAGCTCTGGCCGATTGCCTGGGACTCTGAAGCCACTCCGACCACGTCGCGGATTTTTTTTTTCAAAAAAGAACAAATGAAAAGAACTGCTCTGGCTCGGTCAGCCTGGCCAGCCTAGGAGTCGGGTAGGCAGCGCGGCACTGGGTGGGCCGGACCGAGATGGTGGACAGAGCCGCAGGGAGGGCAAAAGTCGCCCCAGAGAGGGAGGAGGAGGAATTAGTAGTTAGAGGGCGGCGAGGACAGAGCGGGTGGCCTTGGTGACAGCAGGGATATCCCCGGGTCCCCTGGGAGCGGCTGACCCGCAGTCACCTCCTGTCGCACACGGGGGGAGTGAGGACGCAGGGACGGGGCCTGAGGGGCTCCTGCCCAGGCTCTCCCCACCACCACCCTGCGACCCCAGCCCCAAGATGCCCGGCCTCTCCTCTGCCCTCCAGCACCACCTGCGGGGAACGGCGCTGGGGAAGGGGGTGCACCCCGAGCTCACGTCCCCTCTGACCGGGCAGCTCCCGACCATGGGGCAGGCACAGCAGCTGCCTCTGGCTCCCTGTGGCCTTTCCCAGAAGTTCGTCCCACTGAGTCTCAGAACATACCCGAGACGGACCACGTCACTGACTGCTGCACAGAAACCCCATCATCTCTGAAGTCTCGTTGAGAGCCACTGGCCTGCTTCAGTGTCGGAGCCCCAGGGCACAGCGGGGCCAGTGGCTCAGTGTCCACATTGCTCTCCCTTCCTCCTGCACACTCATCCCCACACACCAGGGGTCCAGGAGGCCCCCGGGACCTGGGAGTTCTATGGAAGGCCCCTGGGACTCTCACATCAGAGCCTCCTGGCTAGGCCAAGCCCCCAGGCCACACCCGCATCACGGCCATGAAATGACCACACAGAGGCTTTGGCGACATGAGGGGGTTCCCAGGAGGCAGGGGAGAGGTATGGGGAGGGGGTTAGCAGGGAGGAGGAATCAGGCTAGTTCCCGAGCGGGGCCACCAGGTTCACGTCGAAGCCAGAGAAGAACTGGGCCCACTGCTCTGTGGGGGTCGCAATCCCACCCTGAGGCCGAGTGCTGGACTTGCCTCTGGGATGCTGGGCTGCCTGTGTCCTCCCTGTGCCCAGGACAGTGCCCGACCAGCTGGCTCAGTGCCCAGAAAGCAGCCCGCGGAGGACCTGGGGCCAGGGCGGCCCTTTATAAGGCTGCTGGACTTAATGGGGGTCAGCGGGGTTGTGGGGATGAGGATGTCCAGGGTCGGGGCCAAGGGAGAGCTGCGTCCTGCCCGTCTGATACCTTCCCTGCCCGCCCCCAGCCCCGCTTACCGTCTCGTCCGTGCAGATGGAGTGCACCTGGGTCCCGAACATCACCGATGTGAAGATGAGGAAGAGCAGCCCCTCGAAGCACAGCAGGATGAGGAGGATGACGGTGGTGGGGGGAGAGAAGGAGCTGCACTCTGCAAGAAAAGGGGCACACCTGGGGCTCAGGGCTGCCGCCCCCTGCGACCTAGCCCAGTCTCAGGGGGGACCTTCCTGTCCCAGCCCTGGCTGCACCAACCTGCCCCCAGCCAGGCCCTGCCTGGCTCCCCGCCTGTCGCTGGGGGCTCAGGGCACTGGGGCACTATTTTCTGTGCAGGATCCCTGGGTTCAATCCCTGGCACTGCACTGCCAGGAACAACTCATGAGCACTGCCAGGTGTGGCCTCCAAACAAACAAAAATCATAAAAAAACAAAAAACAAAATCCAAGTAAATAAAAACACTTAAAATAAAAACCAAAACTGGAGAGAAAACCAGTGTGTCAATGTGTCCATTTGACCAGCAGGTGGCACTGGTGTCAAGAACTCAGAGCACCAGGCACTGCCCTAGGAAAGTGCCTTTCATATGAGGGGGGTCTGGGGTACCACGCGTGGCTGAGGGACTTGCTTCTAGGGGTGCTAGGTCAGGTGTGCCTTAATCTCAGATTAAGGCACTTCCACTGTCCAGTGCCCAGGACCCCACGCCAAGCTGAGTGGCAGCTCCAGGCCTCTCCTCCCTGCACGGCAGAGCCTGAACTGTCTGACTAGACCCCTCTGGTGAACGGAGTTGAGACCCAACCCACTGATGGGATAAGCTGAGACCCCCTTCTCGGCTTCTCTGCCGCTGGAGCAACTTGTCAGGTACTGCTATGGGCTGCGGGCCCACCGGGAGTGGGGTCCCTGGGCTGGTAGCCCCCCAGCCTGTGGCTCAGGTCTCACGCTTGAGAGCTCAGTCACTGGGGGGCTGCAGGGGGGCTCAGGAAGTGACCTGGTGGCCCTGCTGAAAACTGAGGGGCAGCTTGTCTGTAGCAGGGAGCATCTCCCTGACCCGGCAGGCTGGAGAGAGGAATGGCCAGAGCCCTGCGGCCTGGGGGTGGATGTGTGGTGACCACAGCCTCCGCCATCGCTGTCCTGGAGAGACACTGGGGTCACGGTGTCCCATCTGACAGGGCCCCATGGGAGAAAAGCGCTTTCAGGAAGGTGTGGGATGCTCTCAGCTGTGTGGGGGATGTGGTCTGTGGATGCCCATTGGCTCCGCTCTTCTCCCTCCTGAAGGGCCCCCAAATCGAGAGACCGTGGACCTAGCAATGAGCACCCTGAATCTCACAGGCAGAAGCCCCCAGCCCACCGGGACGCTCTCTGCAGCTCGGGCATTTGCGAAGGAGCAAGAGTTAGAAGGGGTCAATGGATGGGCAGAGGATCCCTTCATGATGGGGTTTATGCCCTGAGATGAGGAGACGGCAGAGGGCCGGCGGCTTTCTTAGCCACAGGAGGCTGCAGAAAGTGCCATGTGGCAAGCCAGGAAGAGGGGCTGCTCCCCAGGACGCAACCTGGCTCGTGCCAGGGTCCTGGACTTTGCAGTTTCTGGAACGCTAAGAATGCACTGCGGGGAGTTTCCTTAAGACAGCCTGAGCTGCCTGATGCATTCAGACTTCTGTTCCCTCCGATGCAATCATGCCAGGCAGAGCAGCAGGCTGAAGGGAAGGGGAAGAAGCAAACTGGGGACAGGGCTAGAGTGATAGAACATAGCGGGGAGGGCATTTGCCTTGCACACAGCCGACTCGAGTGTGATCCCCAGCATCCCATAGGGTCCCGTGAGCACTGCCAGGAGTAATTCCTGAGTGCAGAGCCGGGAGTAACCCCTGGGCATCTCCAGGTGAGACCCAAAAAGCCAAAAGAAAAGAAAAAAACTCAAACTGGTGACATGGGTGGATCAGTCTACTGATATTGGCTGGCAGCTAAAGAAGCATTGCTTTGGGCAGTAGGGTAGGAGACACACTTAGCAGTGTTCAGGTCTCACCCCTCACTCTACGCTCAGGGATCATGGTGCCTTGGATCAGATCCTCGTCGGCTGTGTGCAAGGCAAGCGCCCTAGACACTGTACTGTTACTCTAGCCCCCTAAAGGTTTGGTTCTTGATAGTCTGGTGACACCAGAGTTCGGGGGGGGGGGGGGGAAGTAAAGGAAGAGAATGCTAAGTCAGCAGGTTCAGCAGGAGCAGAAGTTCTAATTGATGAGCTGGGTAAAGGGACCTGTGGGAGGAAAGCGGGGGGGAGGGGGGGGGACAGAAGGTTTCTGCTCTGACATGTCTCACAGGTTTGTGTTGAAGTTGCTGCCCGGAAGATGGTCTCTCACTTTCTCTAGCACCTATTTAATAGGTCTTCCTTAACAACAACAAAAAATTCTTTTTATTTGGGGGATGGGGTGGCACACTGGGAGGTGCTTAGGGCTTACTACTGACCCAACACTCAGGGATCATACCTGGCAAGGCTCCGGGGACCATATGGGGTGCTGGGGATTGAACCCAGGTCAGCCATGTGCAAGGCAAGTGCCCTACCTGCTGTATCATCTCTCCAGCCTCTCAACTACTTTTATTTACAATAAAAAAGGGGGGGGGGGGCACATCCAGCTGTGCCGAGGGCTGACTTCTGGTGGGGTTCAGGGAACCACATGATCATATGGTCTGTTCTTGATCAAACCTGGCCGGCTGCCTGTAAGGACAGCACCTTCTCTGCTGTTCAATTTCTCTGACCCTCCCAATTATCTTTATTCTTCTTTAAAAAAAAAATTACTTTTTCTGAAAACAATTTTAGCACCCCCCCCCCCCCCCGGGATACAAGGATGCATGCAACCTGCTGGCTGAATTTCCTTCCATGCGCCCAAACACTAAATGGAGGTTATTTCTAAAGCAGGAGAATCTGCCTCCAATATTAATATAATGTGGTTAGTCAGCAGTCAGCAGAGCAACCCCACACTCAAAGATCCTAGGCAAAAAAACCACGATGAATTTGTTTTTTTTTCTTTTTTTTGCTTTCTGGGTCATACCCGGTGATGCACAGGGCTTACTCCTGGCGGTGCTCAGTGGACCATATGGGATGCTGGGAATCGAACCCGGGTCGGGCGCATGCAAGGCAACCACCCTACCCGCCGTCCTATTGCTCCAGACCAAATCACGATCGATGCTTTTCTACAATACTGGAATCCTATGACCTCTGATGAAAGTGTACCCCTGAGGCTATAGGGAGAGATGTGCTCTCCCAGGAGGCATCACCCTGGTACCCCTCCCTGGCAGGGTCTGTCTGATTCACGGCTGTACTCGAAGCACTGACTTTAGGGTCATGAGTGTTTTTTCAAAGAAGAAGTTTCAGGCCTCTGCTGTTCTGCCCTAGATCACCCCATGGGGCTGCTGCAAATGTACTGAAGCGAAGTAGGTCCTGGGCAGCAGGCCCCACCCATAGAGCCTGCCCCGGCCCCCAGGAGGGAGGGAAGGAAAGAGACCTGGCCCATACTCACTTGTCCAATCTTCTTCAAAGCAGTGCAGGAAGTGGAATCCCACCATGATGAGGGCGTGCAGGGAAATGAGAGCTATGTACATCTGGGGGGAGAGAAAGGGGAAGACGCTGCGGTGATGACCGTCTGAACAGATGGCCTCCTGGGGCAGCTGCTTGGAGCTTCCCACACATGCAGAGTCAGGGCGCACAGAGCTGGGGCCAGACAAGAAGGGGTCAGGGAGGCACCAGGCTGCCCTGCATCCACGGTGAGCAGCAGTCACCGGGAGGAGGAGTAGCAGACACAGTGCCCCACGATGGGTGGGGCCGGGGCTGCCCAGGGTCTCTCTGTTCCTTCTCCTTGCTTCAGGTCAGGGTACGGACTATAGCCCCGGCTGTGTCATCACTGGACACTGAAGATGGGAGCCCAGAACACAGCCCCTACCCCCACTCAGAGCTAGCTTAGTGCTAAGGGCTCTGGGGAAGGGTCCAGGAACAGGTGCTTCTTGAGCGAGTGGCACTGGGCTAGGGTGCCTGTATGGACCAGTGCCCAAGACCACGACGAGGGCCGAGAGGGTCAGAGGCTCCTCCAGGGGTGGGGCCGGGCCCCTGAAGCGGTGGAGCTTACTGTAAACAGGACGAAGTACTTCTGGTTGTTCTCCCCGACACAGTTGTTGACCCAGGGACAGTGGTGGTCCATCTTCCGGATGCAGCGCTTACAGACACTGAAAGAGTCCACAAGGCAGAGTGTTAGGTGGGGGTCCGTCCTCACAGTGGCAGCCCCACTCAGCGCAGGTTGGGGGCAGGACCCACTCACTCATGCTCACCGACTCCCAGATATCTTATCTACCAGGGTGGTTTTTGAGCCCACACCCAGTGGTTGTCAGGTCGCTTGCTGGCGATACTGGGGGCTTGAGCCTGGCACGTGCTCAGCCTGTTGGGGGTGGGGGGTGGGGGAAATGTCTCTCTGGGGCCTCAAAGATGAGGCAAAACCATAGCGCCTAGTTGCCTCCCACAGACCAGAATTCCAGGGTCAGGAGAAAGTTCCTGCCAAAGCAAGAGCCTCTGCCTCATGCTACCAGGGAAGGCGGGGCTTCTCTTTAGAAGAGAGTTCTAGAAGAGTTCAAGCAAGGTCAAGCGCAGGGTCTCAGAGAAGTAGGAAGCACTGCTGGCTCCCAGACCTTTTCATCCCTAAGATAACATAGCCGAAAAATGCAGAAAAGTTGTTCAAGTGTAAAAATTGATCAGATGACCTCACTAATTTGCAAGTTATTAACACCTCTTTAGTCATATTTGGACTGAGATGGTTTTGAGTTTATTTTGCGGTGGTTTGAGGACGATACCAGCAATGCTCAGGGCTTAACTCCTGGCTCTAGGCTCAGGGGTCAGTTCTGGCAGAGCTTGGGGATCATATATGATGCCAGGGATCAAACCATGGTCCGGTGCATGCAAGTGCCTTCATCCCTATCCTAGCTCTCTGGCCTCTCAAGTTTATTTTGATAGCAAATACCATCCTCACCCTCTTCTGGGCAATAAAGCACAATTAATATGAAACAAGAACAAAAGGCTTAATGGGACCTTGAAAACAACTGCTTTCACCAATTCAAGTTCAAGCCCGCTGGGAAAAAGCAACACCCAGTGATCCCAGAACCTGCTTTCCTGATCTGCCACTGCAATTCCCAAGACCCTGCGGCGCCCACTGAGGCCTCACAGCCCACCGAGCCTGCCAGGGTTAGTCCAGTGCTCTGGGCTCTGAGTCTTCTGTTTGCAGAGACACGAAGTGACGGGATGGCAGACTCGGGGCCAGGGCTGGCACACAGAGGCCGGGCGGGGCTCTCTAAGTATGTGCTGAACTCACTGCCCCGCCCAGCTTGAACAGTTCTATAGTTGGCACTGGGGGAGGACAGGCCTGGAGGAGATGCAGGGTGGCAAGCTCTGGGTGCTGGGGGTCACTACCCACACCCCACCTGGCCTCTTCACCTCTACTACCATCCACTGTGAAGAACAAGCTGAAAACGTGGGCATTCCCTGCCCACCCCGACCCAGAAGGGCGCCCACACTGGCAGTCGGGGCCAGCTCCCAGGCCCCTTTCTCCAGGTTTGCTACGGGCAAAGTCTACCTCATCACAGAGGCTGCTCTGAGCTTGCTCTCGCCCTAACACGCCAACAGGGCCTGCTGACGTTTCTCTCTGGCATCATGCCACGGTCTTATGTGCAGGACACGGAGATGCAGTGATCATCCACCGGGCCTGGAAGCATGCCAAGGGTGCAGTAAAAGTCACTGCACACACCTGGGTGTGTTGGTCTTTAGCTTGTGTAGTGCTGGGGATAGACCCATGCAAGGCACGTCTCTCCCACTGAACCACACCCTAACTCCTTTACACCAACTTTTTCTAACCAGATGGCTGGGCTCTCAGCTCGACTGGCCACCAGATACCTGTGTGGTGTCCTGCAGAGTTTGCTTGTCCAAAGTCTGTGTCCCCGGGGCCAGAGCAATGTACAGCGCATTGGGTGTTGTCCTGCACAGAGCCAACCCAGGTTCCATCCCTGGCACTGCATATAACCTCCAGGAGCCTGCCTGCTCCCTGAGTACAGAGCCAGGAACAGGCCCCTCTGCACAATCAGGTATGGCCCCCAAATGAAACAAATCAAAAAACCCCAAACCAAAAAACTAAAACAAAAAACCAAAATAAAACCTAAAACTAAGTGCTTTGGCCCCAGATGTCCCGGGCCACCATGAGCCACCGCCAAGCAGCAGTTGTCAGCACATGTTTCCGGAAGCAGGAACAGGCACCCTCCCTCCAACTCATCTGCGTCAGCAGCTCTTGTTTTGCTCCAGCTGATTTGTTTACTAGCACTCAAGAGTCCCGCCCTCGGATGGTGGGAGAGGGCCGAGGAAGAGGCAGCGAGGAAGATACTGGGCAGTGGAGTCTGCGGAGAGCTTGGAGAGATACTCCAGGCGGTGCTCAGGAGACTGTATGGGATGCTGGGGATTGAACCTGGGTTGGCCGCATATAACGCCGCACCCTCTGAGCAATCTCTCCTGTCCTCATCACTTAGTATTTAAAACACTCCAATGATGAGGTGTGTTTTTTTACAGATTCTCAGGTGGAAAAGGCTCAAAACAAGGAAACAAACGGTCTAGTGGGATGACAGTTATATCTGTTTTATTTTATTTTATTTTCTGCTTTTTGGGTCACACCCGGTGGTGCACAGGGGTTACTCCTGGCTCATGTACTCAGGAATTACTACTGGCGGTGCTCAGGGGACCATAGAGGATGCTGGGAATCGAATCCGGGTTTGCCGCGTGCAAGGCAAACACCCTACCAGCTGTGCTATCGCTTCAGCCCCTATATCTGCTTTAACCTCTAGGTCTCTTCCAAGGAAAACCTTCATTCAGCCCACAATCCCCTTCATTTCTTTATATATGTAAATGACTAAAGTCCACCTCTGAAACGAGGCAGCACTAGATAGTCACAGAGAGACTTTCTCAAGCTTCGTCTCATGTCTCCTTAACTAGGAACAAAGCTGTGAGGGAGGAAGAGCAGAAATCTCCTCACGCTCAAGGACATTCCGATAAAGGCTGAAGCAGTGCGGGGTCACACGGGCTGAGGTCAGGGGCTGCAGAGCTGAGTGTTGGCACAGGGGTACTGAGCTCAAGCCACATGCTCGTGCCAACTGAGAGGAACACTAAATGGCCACTGGGCTCAGACAGGGGACATCCACCAGTTTTGTTCCTGATGGCATTCATGGTGGAAGTGGGTGCTAGTTCAGTGTGTGTGTGTGTGTGTGTGTGTGTGTGAGAGAGAGTGTAGAGTGTCTGTGAGACTGTGTGGGTGTATTACAGTGTTAGAGTGCATGTGTACAGAAGAGTGAGTTGTGTCAGTGAGTATGTGACTGTGTGAGAGAATGAGTGTGAAGCCATGTGTACTGTATGCTTGGGAGAGTATGTGAATGTATGGGAAAGAGCGACCGACTGTCTATGAGTATGAGAATGAATGTTTCACTGCATGCGTGTAAGAGTGTGGATGTTTTAGAGTATGACTGTCTGTGTTATATGTGTGACAACTCATGGTATGTGTGTGTAAGTGTGTATAAGAGTGTGAATGAGAGTGTGTGGGAATGTGTACAAGTGTGAATATTTAGAGTGTGACTATGTGGGCGTGAATGTGACTGTGAGACAGTGTGTTGTGTGAGAGTGTGTATGAGTATGAGTGTGAATATTTGAGTGTGACTGTGTGTAACTGTGAGTGTGCATCCAAGAGTGTGACTGAGTAAGAGCATGTATGAGTATGAGACAGAATGAGAGTGTGTGAGATGGTGTGTTGTGAGATGGTGTGTTGTATGAGTGTATGAAGTGTGAATGTGATTGTGTGTAACTGTGAGTACGTGTGAGGGAGTGTGTATGAGATTGAAAGTGGGATGTTTGAGAATGTGACTGTGTGTGTGTGAGAGAGAAAGTGTATGAGTATGTGTGTGATTGTGTGTGTGAGAGTATTTGATTATGAGAGTGTGACTGTGTGTGTGAGAGTGTTTGAGTATGAGAGTGAGAATGTTTGAGAGTGTGACTATGTGTATGTGAGAGAGGGTTTGAGTATGAGAGTGTGAACATTTGAGAGTGTGACTTTGTGTGCAATGTGTTGGCGCACAGCTACCTGCAGTGATGGGCTCGGTCGGGCTTGATACTGCAGCATTTGGGACACTTGTACACCACCTGCCCGGGCTTCAGCTGTAAACTCTCGATGAATTCCTTCGTGGCATTTCCTTTGGGTACAGCTCCCTGTAAGAGAGAGAAAGGGTGTCAGGACTGGACTGAGGGATCTCTCAGTCCTGACATTCCACATAGAGATGGTCATTTGGAAGCAACAACTACTCACACAGACAGGACATTTCCACTCTAACACCACGTGGATGCTGCGTTCAGACCTACACCAACACTGATGAATATTCACTGACAAAGCGTCTTTCTGAGAAGCCACAAGAATCCCTTGGTGAATGTCCTTACGACGAGCAGTTACATTGTCCCTGAGGATTCTGCTTTCATTTCACTGACCTTGTTTCCCTGAACCCATCCTTCTCTATGTATAATGAGGATGTGTGCATCTATTTTGGGGGCCTACATTGTTTCCCACTAACAGGACTGGGGAGATGACTCAAAAGTCTAATGCATATGCTTTGCGTGTGGGAGGTCTGGGTCTGGGATCTGAGATTACACACTCCCTGAGCATCCTTGGGATCAACCGCCCTGCCAGCAGGGCCCCTGAGTACCACCAAGTATGCACTCCCACCCCCACCCCCCACTCCCTACTGTTTCGGCCTTTGCAAGGCTGGTTGTGGACATTGTCCAGTCTTCTCAGATCAAAATCTGCAGCCCTAAATTTTCATGCTTTGTTTCAACTGGAATGAAGGTTTGTTTTGTTTTGTTTTAATCAGAAGCATTTGCTACACAGGATTGGATTTTGTTCTTAGAGAGCCGTGAGCCACTGTCCTCAGTCCTTTGACTTATTCCTGGACCACACCTGCCCCAGGATGTACTCTCCTTCCTTCTGGGATGCCTGGAGCTCTGCAGCCCTGTGGAGCTGCAGAGCTGGCCACGTGCTCTGTGGTGGTGGGCCAGGGCAGGCGGGCTGAGTGCCCGAGCCAAAGGAAGGAAACGAGGCCGAGCCGGGGCTGAGCCAGGGCTGTACCGGGCCTCTAAGCTGGCCTCATCCCCCTACTTGGTGCTCAGTGTGTTTCTGGATTCACTCCTGTCACCCAAGACTCCAATGAAGTACTCCCTGCAGCAGGTGCCTGGGCTTGTGGAAGCCGACAGCAATTCTAAAAGACAGCGGAGCAGCAGCAAACTGACCGGGGCGCTCAGGAAGTTCAAGCAGCACAGCTGAAGGGCTGTCCCCGGATGGGGTGGATGGCCTGGGCGGGGACTGCTCTTCAGGGGCAGCCCAGAGCTATCAGGCATGCAGGGCCCCAGGAAGCGGCCCAGGAAGGAATAAAGACAAAGGTGAGGAGAAGGGAAGCAGGTACACAGAGACCCAAACACGGGTTGTGGGAGTGAAGGGACCTGGCCGAGGCCCAGGGGGCCAGGGCCCAGATGCTTCCCTCGCAGGCCGTCATCCCTGGTCTGATGCTAGATAACACATGACTGCCCGGGTAGCACCAGGGCCATTTTCCCAACAGCAGAAACCTGTCCACCTCTCCACTCACAGCTCGGGCGGCTGCAATTCAGACCAAGGTGTGGGAATGGCGCCTTCCTGGCCTCTCCCGTATTTCCTGGGGCTGGACCATTCCAGCTACTGTCCTCTCCCTTGGGTCTCCATCTCTCCTTCAGGCACCTGCATTTTAATTTTTGCTTTTGTTTGGGGCCACACATAGGGATGCTGAGGGATCACTCCTGGCAGACTTGGGGGACCACGCATGGCATAAGGGGAACAAATATGGGTTGGCCACGTGCAAGGCAAGCACCCTACTCTCTGTACTGCTGTTCTGTTCCTGAGACACCTGCATTTTTAAAAAAAGGTTTGGGGGCAGGGCTGACAGTACGAAACCAGAAACCTTGTGACCCTGTCTGCCTTATTCAGTGCTAGAGTTTAGGGACAGGAGAAGATCAAGCAGTTTTTCCAGCAAAGGAGTGACAGGAGGAGTGAAATCAAGCAGTGCTCAAGAAGGGAACGCAGGAGGCCACCACGGGGCACGGCTTCCAAACAAGAAGCGGGCCTGCTAATGGCCCAGGTCACAGCGACGGGAGGGACCCTGTCCCCAGCACCCCGCAGCCTCAGTGTCAGGTTTACATGACACCATCAGGCTCAGCTCCTTAACGGGGAGCCACGAGACACCACCATCAGTGCCACTGACTGGAGCTGAGCGGGCCCTGGGTACTGCCTGGGGCTATCTACCCCGAGCAAGAACTGCTAACTCGACATCCAAATCACACCCAGACTGCAGTAGCAGTGAGCAATGGTGGGGATCACAAGCTGGGAATGTTGGAGCCAAGAGAGCACCCCTGGTCTCCTGTATAGGAGCCCTGAATTCTTTTTTTTTTTTTTGAGGAGGGGCGCACACTACAGTGCTCAAGGCTTCCTTTTGGCTCTGTGCTCAGGGCTCATCCCTAGCAGTGCTCAGGGGGATCTTATGGGATGCTGGGGATTGAATTTGGGTCAGTTGTGTGCAAGGTGAGCAACCTACCCTCTGCCTTATCACTGGCCCCTGAATTAGCCTGGTAAGCGGCACGATCAGATGCCCGTCACATGCCCATAACCACAGTCTGGGAACAAAGCAGCAGTGGGATGTAATTAACGAGACATGGGTGTCTGGGAGACCACAAATTCTCAATTCTGAAAGGACAAGGGAATACGGGGCCTGTTAAAGGGACTTTGGAGGCAGGATCCCCCTTCACCCCCCCCCCCACACACACACACACATACTGTGCATTAGATACTAAACCGAGATGAGCCTTCGTAGGTCTGGAAAACTCACAGCAGCGGGAAAGGCTATAGATCGTCTCTCGGGCCCAGATAGACTTCCCCATCGCCTTGAGTCCCATGTGCGTGTCTTTGTGTTACCCTCACACAATCCACCTGAGTCTCCCAACACACCTGCTCCTGTTGTCACCCTCTAGCCACCCGCCCTCCGTGAAGGGGACACGCTGGTTCTCACAGCGGGGACTCCCAGAGAAGCCTGGCGGGCAGTAATACACTGAGCAGCGTAAACTCACTGGAACGACCAGGATCTTTCCTATAATCCTGGGATTATAGGAAATAATCCTGAGAGGGGAAAAGTGACTGAAGAAAAAGAGGGTTCAGGGGAAGAAAGAGGGTCCCCTGGGAGGGGAAAAGTGATTGAAGAAGAAAGAGGGTTCGGGGCCAACGTGCCAGGGAGCTGCAGACTTATCTCTTGCTTGCTGAGAAAATGACTCATGGGGGACAGAGATTCCAGCTATGGAGCCCACAAAGGCAACCGATGAACTGTTTCCTTGAAGTTGAGGCTGCACCAAGTGCTGTATGGAGCGTGGAGAGGCTCGGGCGGGGGTTGGGGGGGGAGGCGCAGATCTCCAAAAGCTGGGGGAAGGACAGAGGCAGGGAGGTGGCAGGAGGGCCCTGAAGGGCTCAGGAGGGCAGGGGGAGGCTGGCAGGAAGGGCACCTGCAGGGGTAGAGACCTGGCACGGGGCTTGTGGGTGAACCGGGAGATATGGGCAAAGCCGGAGAGCAAGTCCAACCCCCAAGCAAGCCTGGGGCTCCTCTCTTCCCGGCCCACATCCTACCCACCCCAGCCTTTCCCCTCTGGCCTCTCTGGCCTCCTGGCTCTCGGCCCTCTCCTCGGCCTTGGTGAGTACTGATCGGCTCTGGGGATGGGCAGTGTAAGGTGGGCTGTCCACGGGGGCAACATCACGCTTCCCTGCGGGTGTGTCTGGGGTGATGGGCCAAAGGATCAGGAGGAGCTAGGAACCTCCGTGAACTCACTAAGCTCCGTGCTCACTCATGTGAGTGAGATAATGGGAGGCCAGAAAGACAGTTCTTTTTTTGTTTTTCCCCCTTTTTTTGGCCACACCCAGAGGTGCTCAGGGCCAATTCTTGGCTTTGTGCTCAGGAATTTACTCCAGGTGGGGTTTGGAGACCACATGGAGCGCTTGGGATTGAAACTGGGTCAGCCACGTGCAACTCCAACCCGCTGTACTATTGCTCTAGCTCTCAAGAAGACTGTAACACTGTCCTCCTGTTGTTCATCGATTTGCTCGAGTGGGCACCAGTAATGTCTCCATTGTGAGATTTGTTGTTACTGTCTTTGGCATATCAAATATGCCACGGGGAGCTTGCCAGGCTCTGCCGTGCGGACGGGATACTTTCAGTCAAGAAGACAATTCTTTCTTTCTTTCTTTCTTTCTTTTTTTTTTTGATTTTTGGGTCACATCCAGTGATGTGATCAGCAATGCTCAGGGGTTACTCCTGGCTCTGCACTCAGGGGTTACTCCTGGCAGTGCTTGGGGGACCATATGGGATTCCAGGAATTGAACTTGGGTTGGCTGCGTGCAAGGTAAACGCCCTACTCACTGTACTATCACTCCGGCCCCAAGAAGACAAATCTTTTTTTTTTTTCTGTTGTGGGTCACACCCAGCAATACTCAGGGGTTACTCCTGGCTCTGCAGTCAGGAATTAATTCTGGCGGTGCTCAGGGGACCATATGGGATGCTGGGAATCAAACCAGGGTGCTGTGTGCAAGGCAAACCCTACCTGCTGTACTATCACTCCAATCCCAAGAAGACAATTCTTAAAGCATGGATCTCCCTGGTCCATGGGTATGTGGACACCAAGAAGCTGAAGACCATTAATACCTGACTAAGAAAACACTATCCTTGCAGTGGTAGGTGGCCACATCCAGGGTTTGGGACGGGAAGAAGTTGAGAGGGGCCTGGAGAGTACAAAACCAGATTTGGAACATTCTCTGTGAAGCAGAGGGTGCCCTTCATGCTCCTTCAGTTGCCTGAAGTGGGGCAGGAGAGAATGCCTACAGGGCTGGGGCATGTGGTTCACCTATGGGAGGCCTGGGTTTGATCCCTGGAACCACCCTACACCAATGGGTGTAGCTCTCAAACCAATGTTAAGTACACATATACATAAAATTGCCTGGAGTCTTTGTTTTCCTAAAGGTTATAGCAATAAAGGAAAATACTCAGGTCTGCAAAATTCAGATGCCATGAGAGAAAATTTAAAAGCAAACAAACATTGGTAGGCGGACCGTGGAGCAAACCGTGAAAAGTGCCCAGCTGACGCGGGAAACAGCAACAAAG